GGCCGCCCCACTCCCCACCCCGCCCCCACCCAGCTGGCCGCCAGACCGTGGGAACGACTCGGCTCAGCGCTGCCGGCCGCTGGACGGGGAAACCCCGCCCCGCCGCCCGCCGCCCAACACACTGCCGCCGGGCCGGCCGGTGGAATTTTCCAGCCGTCTCTCCGGAACGGCGGCACCCCGCTCATCTTCGCACGCGCATTCAGCGGCGGCTTGTCGATTTTTCGAGTGTCGGCTGCCGATCTCCCGAGAGCCGGCCACCTGTCAGCCGCCGCTCGGCTCCGTGTTAAGCATATGGGGACGGCGAATTTCTCCCGGAGGGAAGCACCTCGCTCACAAAAGCACGTGAATCAGCCGCATTCCTGTGTGGCGCGCAATGCTGAAGAGATATGTGTTTCCGCGGGTATCTCGCAGGCCCTAACAGGAAAAGCTCGCTGCAAAAACTGAGCGTTTCAAATAACGCCAAATCCTAGTCAAATGGATATTTAAATAACAAGATATCTTGGCTCGCTCCGCGTCGCTTTGGCCATAAACAGATTCGGGAGAAAATTTGGGATTGAATGGTGTTTTTCCGGTGACGATCGGACGTCTAGAAGCTTCGATATTGGCGAAAAACTTGCTGAACTTGCAAAAGTACTTGGTATTTGCATAAGTACTCGGTATTTGCCAAAGTACTTGGTACTTGCTTGGTATTTCCATAAGTACTTGGTACTTGCTTGGTACTTGTAAAAGTACTTGGTACTTGCTTGGTACTTGCGAAAGTACTTGGTACTTGCACTTGCCCCCCCGTTCCCCCGACTCTACTCCCACACCTACCCCCTCGGGATAATTCCGGGTTCGTAGGGTAGGAAAACTTGCCACTCTACTCCCCCCCCCCCCCACCCCCCACAGAGCCATTTGGTATCGATCGGTGTTTATCCCGTGTCAATCGGTCGTCAATAAGCCGAGATATGCACGGCGAATTATTTCAATCGGCGTCGATCAGAATCTTCAGAACGGAGGGACCCACACTCATTTCTGGCCGTATCTCACTTTTCCGAGATTTACGTCAAACTACGTATTTAAAACTACATATTCTACAGCCGAATCTTCAAACTGGGGGTACCTCAGACCGTGGGAACGACTCGGCTCAGCACTGCCGCACGCGCATTCAGCGGCGGCTTGTCGATTTTTCGAGTGTCGGCTGCCGATCTCCCGAGAGCCGGCCACCTGTCAGCCGCCGCTCGGCTCTGTGTTAAGCATATGGGGACGGCGAATTTCTCCCGGAGGGAAGCACCTCGCTCACAAAAGCACGTGAATCAGCCGCATTCCTGTGTGGCGCGCAATGCTGAAGAGATATGTGTTTCCGCGGGTATCTCGCAAGCCCTAACAGGAAAAGCTCGCTGCAAAAACTCAGCGCTTCAAAAAACCCCAAATCCTAGTCAAATGGATATTTAAACAAGATATCTTGGCTCGCTCCGCGTCGCTTTGGCCATAAAAAGATTCGGGAGAAAATTTGGGATCGAATGGTGTTTTTCCGGTGACGATCGGACGTCTAGAAGCTTCGATATTGGCGAAAAACTTGCTGAACTTGCAAAAGTACTTGGCACTTGCTTGGTACTTGCCAAAGTACTCGGTACTTGCCAAAGTACTTGGTACTTGCTTGGTATTTGCATAAGTACTCGGTATTTGCCAAAGTACTTGGTACATGCTTGGTATTTCCATAAGTACTTGGTACTTGCTTGGTACTTGTAAAAGTACTTGGTACTTGCTTGGTACTTGCGAAAGTACTTGGTACTTGCACTCGCCCCCCCGTTCCCCCGACTCTACTCCCACACCTACCCCCTCGGGATAATTCCGGGTTCGTCGGGTAGGAAAACTTGCCACTCTACTCCCCCCCCCCCCCCCCCCCCCCCACAGAGCCATTTGGTATCGATCGGTGTTTATCCCGTGTCAATCGGTCGTCAATAAGCCGAGATATGCACGGCGAATTATTTCAATCGGCGTCGATCAGAATCTTCAGAACGAAGGGACCCACACTCATTTCTGGCCGTATCTCACTTTTCCGAGATGTACGTCAAACTACGTATTTAAAACTACATATTCTACAGCCGAATCTTCAAACTGGGGGTACCTCAGACCGTGGGAACGACTCGGCTCAGCACTGCCGCACGCGCATTCAGCGGCGGCTTGTCGATTTTTCGAGTGTCGGCTGCCGATCTCCCGAGAGCCGGCCACCTGTTAGCCGCCGCTCGGCTCCGTGTTAAGCATATGGGGACGGCGAATTTCTCCCGGAGGGAAGCACCTCGCTCACAAAAGCACGTGATTCAGCCGCATTCCTGTGAGGCGCGCAATGTTGAAGAGATATGTGTGCACGCAGCTATCTCGCAAGCCCTAAGAGAAAAAGCTCGCTGCAAAAACTGAGCGTTTCAAAAAACCCGCAATCCTACTCAAATGAATATTTAAACAAGATATCTTGGCTCGCTCCGCGTCGCTTTGGCCATAAAGAGATTCGGGAGAAAATTTGGGATCGAATGGTGTTTTTCCGGTGACGATTGGACGTCTAGAAGCTTCGATATTGGCGAAAAACTTGCTGAACTTGCAAAAGTACTTGGTACTTGCTTGGTACTTGCCAAAGTACTCGGTACTTGCCAAAGTACTTGGTACTTGCTTGGTATTTGCATAAGTACTCGGTATTTGCCAAAGTACTTGGTACTTGCTTGGTATTTCCATAAGTACTTGGTACTTGCTTGGTACTGCGAAAGTACTTGGTACTTGCACTCGCCCCCCCCGTTCCCCCGACTCTACTCCCACACCTACCCCCTCGGGATAATTCCGGGTTCGTCGGGTAGGAAAACTTGCCACTCTACTCCCCCCCCCCCCCACAGAGCCATTTGGTATCGATCGGTGTTTATCCCGTGTCAATCGGTCGTCAATAAGCCGAGATATGCACGGCGAATTATTTCAATCGGCGTCGATCAGAATCTTCAGAACGGAGGGACCCACACTCATTTCTGGCCGTATCTCACTTTTCCGAGATGTACGTCAAACTACGTATTTAAAACTACATATTCTACAGCCGAATCTTCAAACTGGGGGTACCTCAGACCGTGGGAACGACTCGGCTCAGCACTGCCGCACGCGCATTCAGCGGCGGCTTGTCGATTTTTCGAGTGTCGGCTGCCGATCTCCCGAGAGCCGGCCACCTGTCAGCCGCCGCTCGGCTCTGTGTTAAGCATATGGGGACGGCGAATTTCTCCCGGAGGGAAGCACCTCGCTCACAAAAGCACGTGAATCAGCCGCATTCCTGTGAGGCGCGCAATGTTGAAGAGATATGTGTGCACGCAGCTATCTCGCAAGCCCTAACAGGAAAAGCTCGCTGCAAAAACTGAGCGTTTCAAAAAACCCGAAATCCTACTCAAATGGATATTTAAACTAGAAATGCAAATATTCTCAGACTTATGAGACTGGCTTGCCACCACCATGGCGCATATTTACGGACCACTGCGCCATGCTGTGCTGATCCCGAGCGTAGCGCGTCAGACCCGCCGCCGGCCTGTCGCAGCGCACTGCTCGGCGGCGCCGCGGGTCGGGTCGGTACGTGGTAAGGGTCGACAGCAGCTCTGGGCCGACGGCAGCGGTGACTGGGCCGTGACGGGTCACATGTGGGGCCCGACGCCGGCTAATGGACCTAATATCGGCACCATTTCTCGGTACTCGCTGCTGCCGCGGGCCAGATGCTGGCTTGCACTGGATGGCGTTGCTCGTCATTTGCTGCATTTTCTTCTAAAAAAGCCGTTATTTGGCTTCCCAAAAATAACTGCGAACGGTTTGTTTGTTTGTCGACAAGTTGCGACATGGAACGAATGCAATAAATTTACCCGACGATTTAGATTCAGGTGATAAAAGAAAAAGATTGTGACATCTTCAGTGACATCACTTCAGTAAATTGTGATATCGCTTACACTGTGATGCTTCATGCATGGAGATGCTGTTGCATGACGAATGAGAGCAGTCAAGAGTCAAGACTTCAAAGATGCAGTCAGTGTGGTGCTAGTGTAGGTATTTATTTATCTAGCTCGTGACGTCGAAGACAACTGATCAGTTTAACCCGTTTGCCGCCGCGTCTTCTCGTATTCAAGGCCCTAGAGCATAGTTTGCTAACCACGATTAAACAAAGAGAGATACTGCATTTAGAAGCTCGTAAAAGTTAGAACTTGTTCAGACCCGACGTTTCTGAGTTCAGCTTTGATATTCATTAAGTTTATGGGGATGTTTGATCACGCTTCTATTCTGCTCAATGTTTTTTTTTTCATATCTTCTCTAACCTCACCACTTTGACACTGACCATTCTCGAACATCACTTCTTACAGCTTTAATCTCCAATATTCCTCTATATCACACTTCGCTCCACATCCATCTATCTTCGTCCCTCCCGTATCAAATATCCAATATCACTCCGTGTTACTTCCCCCCCCCCCCCATGTGTGATATTTCCGCCGCAGCCTTGTTCCGACATCTGCCGTCCGTCACCGCCGTCCGTCCCAGTCGAGGCCGGTCCGTATAGGTCAACCCGTCGGCGCCGTCGTGTCCGAGTCGCGTCCAATGTATTGTTCCAATCCGGGTAATCGGCGCCGTGTTGATTGCTCCGTCTGTCTGGCCGTCCGCTGAGCGTGGGCGACTTCTGGTGGGCTGAGGTCGGCCTCTGAGGGCGCTGGTGTCCGGTCAGCGGGCAGACGTGACAGAGATGTGTTAATGTCTGGGAGAGTGGTGTGGGCGCGGGATGGAGTCCGAATGTTGAAGTGTCACGGTTGTCGGTGTTGGAAATTCAGCTTGTGTAGCGATGTCGCGATCAGGGAAACGGTCAGGTGCCCTTGGATGGACCCCGAGAGACCTTGATCCTAGGTTGACCTTTGATGGTCAAAGCTAATCTCTGGCTGGTCGAGGCTAACCTCTGACTAGCCAAGACTGACTTCTAGTGGGTAGAACCTGACCACTGACGGGCTGATTTCTTTGCCTCCCAGGCGCCTATTACGGTATGGAGGCGGTGCCGGCGTCGCTGCTCAAGTACTGTGAGAAGGCCGACGAAGCGGTCACCATGGGTGAGCAGCTTCTGGATCTGCTGGAGCAGCAGCCGGACCGCTAGAAGCGTACGTCACTGCCTCCCCCTCTTCCCCCGCTGGCTATTAGACCGGGGGCACCGCGACTGCCCGCCTCATTTGACCGTAACTGGCGTACTGTGTGACAGCCGTCGGATGAATTCACGTCGTGCACGGCAGAAAATTGGCACGCCTTTTATCCTCTGCTGCGCCACGTCGCACAATATTTGACGGTAGAATGACGGCCAACCTGGCTGACGCAGTCACTTACCGACAGGTATGATTTGTCTGGACTATATTGTTTCAGATATGCCGTAGTTGTAATTGACATTGACCGCATTTGAGTAGACTCGGGAGTGTTCCAGTGGTTATGTCGCTGTGATGCTGATACCATCTGACGCATGTGGGTTGTGGAGTATCATTCGTTGATAGATGCATTTTGCAACACTGAAGAAGTGTTTCTGCCGGTTGGTAATGTTGATGCTGGGCGCAAAAGTCTCATTTTCTATCGGGAGAGACGAGGGTTATCTCCACAATGGATTCATAGCAACCCAATGCGCTATGGTTGGAGTCGTGTCATGTGATCGCTGGCTGTCCAGTTTCGGGCTCTCATTTCTAACGATTTCGTACATTTTTCGAGAGGAAGTTGTGTGATGCCGTCAAAATAAATTGTTTCATGGTAGATCTTGAGTCTGAATTATTGATGACCCCGGTTGATAATTATTCTTTTAAGTCACATGCATTCGTTTACAAATAGTTATCACCAGATGATATTTGTCAAAGACCGCTCGCCATCTGCTGCTGTGACGATCGGGGCACTTATCGGGCTGGAACTCTGAAATCCACTGGATCAACTTAAGCACCCTACATTTATTGTTCTTAGTTATCGAGACATTTTGCTAAAAGAAAACCGATTGGATGTAAAAACAAAATCATTTCTGCACAACTAGTAACTTGGTTTGACGATGGCTCTCATTTTAGTTGAGTTCCATCGCCGCGCCGCCATCGGTGGTGCCCTCCCTCGCTGTCGTCTGTTCGAGGACCAGTCGACTGCCCATTAGCGGACCAGTGGCGGGTCGCAGGGCCGATGTCACGTTCACCATTACCGCTCCCTCCCTCCTCCGGGCCTCTGTCCCCTCTGCCCTGGGGGTGCCGCACCCCCCCCCCCCCCCAGTCGCACTGGTGGGTATCCGTACCGTTTGACCCCAGCCAACTGCCGCATTGGCTGGCTGAATAACTCTGGGACGGACTTGGATGGGAGTTGTAAATTCGTATTAGCGATAGAGTCGAAATCCTGACGATAAAAGTCGACAGTTCACAGAGGCTGTTGCAAATGCCTACCGGTATTACGAGCACTAGCTCCAGCAGATGTATACATTACGAGTTGGATCCCGTTCAATTAGCGACTTGTTGCCCTTTTAGTGCCCGCACTGCTCACGACTTTTGATGCCTCTTCCCTCGCACCCATGTGAGCAACGTTCAAAAATGACAGACTGCAACCGCCCGCCTCTCCATATGCTAATGTCGGAACTAGAAGTGGCGTTTTGATGCAGATGCAAATCTGTTGACTGCGTAAGAGGCCGGCGGGCTGGGCTCCGCGGTGTTCCCGGCCACAGCTCGAGCTTCGCCGGCCCTCCGGGCCCTCAGACGGTATTAGAAATGACGGTGTTTGTTGGAAGGATTCAACTCGCGATAACATCTTACGACTACGCCACTTCATCGGATAATGAAGACTTATTGGGCACATAAGTAGACGGAAAGTGCATGGAAGTTTCTCTAAAAAAAAAAAAATATGGCTTTGTAGTGACGGCACTCAGTCCTAAAGTGCACTGAGAAGGTAAAATCTTAAATTTTAGATATCAGGGAATGACTAACTAGTTGGCCACTGATCTGGTTCGTAGCTGGGGCCAATAGCACCGGATTCGCAATGGTGGGTGTTTATTGTTTACTTTTAAAAAGATCGATCCAAGATCTATGCATAGGTAAGATTATGGACAGGGGTGGTCTCTGTGGTTAGTGTTAGTAGCAGCATGAGCTCAAGGCAGTAAAATGAACCGTGTCGTGCTGTACATGGGCACTTGAAACTTTGGCATTTTAGTTATTTTTATTCCCGAACGGACAGTGTGTGTAAGGTGGGAAGAGGGTGCAACTCACACGGACCTTGGCCGTCTCAAGCCTTCGTCGTTAGTAGCTGTCAAACGGACCCTGTTCGTCCCCAGCGTACAGCACACTCCTGACCGTCCCAAGCCATCGCACTGACCCCGTCAACCGCCACTGCCTTACTACAGCATCCAGCTTTACTGTCGAGTCCAGCTCGCCATTCACTTCCTTACCACACGCTATCCACAACCGCCCGGCGCGGCGCGGCGGTCAGCGAGGCGTCACGAACCGACCAGTCTCCAGCAGACAGCAGCTGCACCAGTGCCGGCGGACTGACGAAAAACAGGCCGCCCTGCGTCGAGCTCGACGGCCAGCGCTGCAGCCTGGTCGTGGGCGGACAGGGTATGCTTTGGGAGGGACTGAGGGAGATTAGAGGCTCCGAGAGACGGAGAGAGACAGTAGAGACCAGGGGAGAGACGGACGGGCCTGGAGAGAGACGGCACTGATTGCAGGAAGACGGTAGAGCATGGGGAGACAGGGAGAACAGAGAGAGAGAGACGGCAAAGACCAAGGAAGAGACGGAAGAGACGAAGAGAGACGGATTACGTCCGAAGGAAGCGAACAGTAGTCGAGGAGAGACTTAAGACTATAGAGTAGAGGTGGCAAAAGGTGAAAATTTTTGGGAACCAGACTCGAACCAGACCCGACTGGACATTTCTGGAACCAGTCAGACCCGGTCCAAGTTGGAATTGGAACCAGTCGGACCCGTTCCCCAAAAGTCAAATAATGCAAATTATTTGTAGGTATCATTAGTTGCATCATGTAAAACACCTTTTTCCCACTGGGAATACTCATAAGCTACAGTGTGCAAAGAAACATAGGTACACGAGCAAATGTTTTCTTTCCATTCACTTTATATTTTGCAATCATGTGTAGCGTGCAAGATGTATGGTTTATGGTAGGACCCGGTTGGACCCGTCAGAAAATTTCCAGGAATCGGTCTGGACCCATATGGGTCCAGACTGGGTCTTTGGACCGGGTCCTCGGGTCCACATTTTGCCACCTACTATAGAGATCCAAATCGTAATTATTTTAGTAAAACGCGGGGAAGAAGATAAATCCCTCTAGAAACCGACGGGAGACGGCAGAAACCAGAGAAAGATGGACGACTCCCAGCGAAGGCGGGTGGACTCCAACACACGGGAGGAAAACGGACTAACCCAAATACGTCAGCCTAGCCAGCCCTTCCCACCGACAGACAGACCCCGGCCGGTCAGAGCAGCTCTCTCGAACGCGATAACAGTATAGCGAGCCGAGCGGCCGCCGTGGTCGGCCGGGCCCGGCGGCTGATTTCTGAACACGAATGGAAGGGAGCGAGACCAGCCCTCTGTCAATCAGCTCCGACGTCAGCTGTTGTCAGCGCGCCGCGCATTGAATAATGCAAAGAACAGATGGAGGGCTGCGAACGAACGATGAATAACGGCGTCGAACGGTTCGTGGATTGTTACCACTTACCAGTATCGTTTTGCAGGTGTAACTGCGACGATTTAGCACCATGGAACATTTGAACATTTTTTTTTTTACTTTTTTTCAAGTATGTGTTAACGAACGATCATGACAAACACTACAATCACTTCATCACGACTCGAGAGGCAATCACAGCGTCATCGTTGGCTTCATCGAAGAAAACCGCACCTGTAAGTGACCGAGAACGGCACCGCTGTAGAGCAGCCGTTCCGTGGAGCCGGTGACACCACAAAGCCAGCCGAGGCAATCACGCAGGCCCACAGAAGTCACAACAACCAGTACTTAAAACTAATCTTAAAACCTAAGGGGGAAGAGAGTGCACACCACCAGCAAAAAAAGGTAGGTAAAATGGTTAAGTAGAGGGAGAGAGTTTCTCCCCCCCCCCCCCGCTGACCAGCGGCTGCCCGCGGCTGTCGCCCCAACCAAACGACTACACGGACATCAAGCGCTCAGTCACACTGGTCGACCTCCCTCCCATCGGCCATCACATCTGCACCGTACCCGCTAACGCGGCGACCGGGCCGACCGGCCGCGCCGCCCTGCATCACATCCGCAGCATAGACCGTTCGCGCTCGCTTTGGTCGACAAAACACAGGACAGCGATGTGACATGTGACAACAGTGACATAACAGACAACATTTGAAACAGTTGAGCATTGACTGGTTGCTTTGTCTGATAGTCGTAACCACATCTCTCTCTCTCTCTCTCTCTCTCTCTCTCTCTCTCTCTCTCTCTCTCTCTCTCTCTCTCTCTCTCTCTCTCTCTCTCTCTCTCTCTCTCTCTCTCTCTCTCTCTCTCTCTCTCTCTCTCTCCCTTTCTCCCTCTTTTCTCTCTCCCTCTCTCCGTCTTTCTCTCTCTTTTGTCTCCCTCTCTTTCTCTCTCTGTCCTCTTCCTCTCTCCCTGTCTCCCTCTTTCTCTCTGCAGGACACCTGTTTTTATCTTATCGCTGCTAAAAGTTATGCAACTCTAGCACGGGGTATGCTAGGCCAGACATCGGAAAGCATCTTAATATCGTACGTGCATTGGTTTTGCGGTACTCATGCTAGGAAAGGTATGTGACAAATTTTTGCCGGATTTGGTAGTTGTTTGCTGTTGACTGGTGCTGTATTGTGCCGTCAACTATGGAATGCTCATCACTCCGCTTATGAGGAAACTTTGCAGTTGGTGGCCGCAGTGTCTCTGATATCACATACCTACCAGAGAAATTATTATGCTCAGAGGCGGTTTTTGCTCACTAGTGCGCTCACGTTCGAAAACAATATATGTAGTGGGCGGCAGGGCAGTTTATGGGTCGCTGACATCAAATGAAGCATGAAATCAAATCATAAAGCGGCACATCGAATGCGCTTTTTTATAAGTAATGACTGATTCTAGTATAAAACAGTTACCGTATTCCGTTCGCCATTAGCCACATAGCCCG